TTGATATCCTCAGATATACTCCTCTATGAATGGAAAGTTTTAATGGAAATATTTAATACTAATTGGTCTACATTTTTGCCACTCTGTTGTTATGATTCCTGTAGAGACAGCTACCTTCTAAAAGAATATTTTTATTTCCAGTGACTGACCAAAAGAACCATGTGGCAAGATTTCAAATTTAAAGACTCGTACTGTAACAATCAAACTAAAAGCAACATTGATTTGCCACTTTTTAGGAGATAATTTGTATTTTAAACTACAGAAAACAAACCTCATGCAACTATTAGCGCAATCAAAAATCCCCAAGCTATCCTTTAAATGAATGCCGACGGTCAGCTTCTTTTTTCCCTTTCCCAGTCAGTTAGTTTATAATCCGGAAACTGACTTGGTTATGCTGGAAATTCTTGCTTTGTTGTTTAGTTGGGCTGTCAAGTTTTATTTGAGGTTGCCTAGTCTCAAAAATGTATGCGGCTTGAATCCATGATCTCTTTGGTAAGAACTATTTATTTACAAATAAAAATGTGCATAAATTAGACCTTCACACAGCTGCTCCCTACTAAATTTTTTTAGAATCCCTACAGTGTGGAAACAGGCCCTTCGGCCCAACAAGTCCACACTGACCCTCAGACCTCCCACCCTGACCCATCCCCTTGTAATCCACCTAATCTACACATCCCTGAACACTATGGGCAATTTAGCATGGCCAATCCACCTAGCTTGCACATCTTTGGACTGTGGGAGGAAACTGGAGCACCCAGACACAGGAGAATGTGAAAACTCCACACAGATAGTCGCCCAGGGGTGGAATCGAACCCGGGTTCCTGGCGCTGTGAGGCAGCAGTGCTAACCACTGAGCCACCGTGCCCTTGTAAAGGCAAATGACGCACACTTTGGCTCCGAAATTAACAACCAATGCGCTGCTAGACACGCAAGGGGATTGAACCCACAATCTTCATTTTACGAGACCAATGCCTTCCCACTTGGCCACTGGGCCCTCAATTTTATTTTGAAAAATACTGCAATCTTTTTGTTGTGTTATAATGCTCTTGTATGCATTATGCAATAGTTAACCAAGACAGTATAATTAATGGGACCAGACAACATCAGAAAGCCAAATGGCAGAACACAAATGCTGTATTATGTCATCTGACCCCTAGCTATTTGTGTAGCTGCTTTGAACTGACTCCCTGCCATTTATTAAATAGGTTTACACAATGTAGTGATGGTTGCCGTATCGTGCATAGCTAGAAAGCATCCTCCAGAGTCAGGGTACCCCTGCACATTGCTGAGTTATGTTATTGATGTTGTTTGGGCAATGTACCTTGGGCCACACTACCAGGCAGCAACAGGGCTGAATGGTGAGGGATGCTGGTCATCACCGGTGGTTCAATGCTTCTTAACAACTCCATAGATTTCAGAACAGCTACTGTTCAGTAACGGAGCGCCTTCACTGGGAACGGATGGCCTAGGGCTGTAGCAAGATCACCTCAATCAGCAGCCCACATACAGAAGCCCAAAGGCCAAGAGGAGCCTACTCACATTCTCATGTTGGCAAAGAACCTGAATACAGGAGGAAAGTTTTTTTTTTAAAAGAACTACCAATTATATAGGTATGACAGACTAATCATGTGACTAATCGTGATATCATTTGCTACATCATTATAACATAATCTTCTGATATTAACACACTGCTCCACAATTCCTTCTCTCTCTCCCAGGTTAAGCCAATCTTCCAGCCTCTCTTAACCCCTCACAACTTCAATTTTTTCAGTCTGAGGGTGAGTTCCCACCCTTGTACTCTGTGGTAAACCATACAGCCAGCACTTCTCTTTACCTATGGTGCAGGATGAGCTGCCTCTTTCAGATTCTTGTGGACACACTTGGGTCTGAGAGTTTCAGTGACAGGAAATAGCATAACCTGATAATGGCTTGCTGTGCACATTTCTCCTCTTAGAGCCCCTTTTCATGACAGTTTAAAACCCATGGCTCTCCGGATCCCCTCAACAGTTTAAAGTATAAAACAAGAAAAAAAGTATAAAGTGAGAAACATACTTGGCTTGTTTCCAAGATAGTAGGAACTGCCGATGCTGGAGAATCTGAGATAACAAGATGTAGAGCTGGATGAACACAGCAGGCCAAGCAGCATCAGAGGAGCAGGAAAGCTGGCGTTTTGGGCCTAGACCCATCTTCAGAAAAGTCTCGTTTCCACTTGAGTTTAGAAAAGGGAGGAGTGACTTGATTCAAGTGTATAACATTATGAATGATCTTGACAAAGTGGATGTGGAGAGGGTGTTTCCTCATTTAGGTGAAGCCAGAACTATGGAGCATTGCTTTAAAATGAAAGATCGCCCTTTTTAGGACAGAAATGAGGAGACATTCTCTTTCTTGGAGGGTTGTGGGACTTTGGAAATCTCTGCCTCAGAAGGTGGTGTCGTGTACTATTTTGAGGGCTGAGATAGATTCTTGTTAGGCAGGGGAATCAAAGGTTATTATGGACGGATGGGAATATGGAATTTGAAACACAAGCAGATCAGACGAGATCTTATTGAAGACCAGAACAGGCTTGAGGGGCTGAATGGTCTACTTCTACTCCTATTTTGTATTTTTGTATAACTGTTTACACGATCTGACTCCCCAATTTCTCCCCAAGATTTAGACAGTAATAATCTACCCATGGTTAGCACAGCTGTTCTTCCCATTCTCCTCCAGTCTGAGCATTTTACACCACCATTAGCATGACTAGGGTCCCTGTTATCCTAATAGCCAGCACACCAGCCAAAAGTGTTGTTGAGCAGGTCACATGACTGCCTATTTTTCCATTTCACCTTAAGTAGAAAGGGCAGGCCAAAAACATAACAAACTTTTAAACTTTGTATTTGCAACACTATAGATAAAATGTAATCCAATTTTCTATCTCCTCCCAGTGCTGTGCATTTGGTTATTACCAGAGAAATTTGTATTTTTTTCATTTTTCTTTGACTTTTGCCTATGAGTCATGATATCATCATTCTACTTCAGGGATGATTATACTGTAGTTAGGATCAGAAATGATGTAGGTAACACTTTCCCTACTTGTACTGGGAGGGTTCAATGTTGGCACTAACAGGAAAAATTAAGTTTGTGAGTCATAAATAGGGCGACAAGAAAGCTAAAGGCAAATAGTTCAACATTAAATATATGGTTTTTGTTTCAGCTCCCATAATAACACATTTAAATATTGTATCTTGTGTTTAGGGATTGCAATGATAACGTTATATTAAGAGGGATGCAATTGTTAGTGTCCAATTACCACAATGGCTCTGAAATGCTTTTCATCAAAAAAATTCTTATAGCCTTTTGGAATCCCACCGGTTATGGATAGTGCTTTTAGAAACTGTAGACAGGGATAAAGATTGTGGAGAAACATTTCCAGCAGGAGATTACAGCAACATTCTTTCCTACCCCAGAAAACTCTAAAGTTACAAATTGGAAAACATGTCAAATATTTGTTGCTAACCTTTCATATAAGTGTCCAGTGCTGTGGAAATTTCTTTTGGACAGAGAGGTATATTCTTTAAAGGTGCTTTGGTGCTCAATAAAGAACCTTCCTCGGAAACTTCATGTCAGTTCTGATGTAGAATCAAGAATAGAAGATAGCAGGGACGGTGTAGAGTCAGGAATGAGAAGGTAGCAGGGACAGTGTAGAGTCAGGAATGGGAAGGTAGCAGGGACGGTGTAGAGTCAGGAATGAGAAGGTAGCAGGGACGGTGTAGAGTCAGGAATGGGAAGGTAGCGGGGACGCTGTGGAGTCGGGAATGGGAAGGTAGCAGGGACGGTGTAGAGTTAGGAATGGGAAGGTAGCGGGGACGCTGTGGAGTCGGGAATGGGAAGGTAGCGGGGACGCTGTGGAGTCGGGAATGGGAAGGTAGCAAGGACTGTGTGGAGTCGGGAATGGGAAGGTAGCGGGGACGGTGTGGAGTCGGGAATGAGAAGGTAGCAGGGACGGTGTGGAGTCGGGAATGGGAAGGTAGCAGGGACTCCTTGCAATAGAGAGCTGTAGGGGCAGAGTCCTTGCGTACATTTAAGGCTGGGATAGATGGATTCTTAATTGTTAGGTGATTCATAGGTTATGGGGAAAGGGGATATGAGGAATGTTGGACCAGCTACGATCTTGTCAAATGGCAGCACAGAATTGAGGGGCCGAGTGGTCTTCTCCTGTTCCTATTTCTTATTGTCTTGTGGGAGCCGGTGGCGAGAATGTGAGTGTTTGGAACAAGAAGGTGGTGAGTGGTAGAATCAGGAATCAGGTCACAATGTAAGTGACAGCACTGTGACTTTTGCAAGGCAACTGGTTGAAGATGGTGGAGAAATTAGAAATGGAGAGTTGTGTTCACATTTCTCAATGTGTCCCATGCCTTACTGTGTGGCTTAACACTTGGGCACAGTCCATACTTTCACAACTATCGCACATGTGGACTGAAGTATAACACAAACCAGCCGATGCATATTGTAGAATGGGTTGCAAGAAGTTAATAAAAAGCAGTAGATATTAGTTTTCTTGGTGTTTCTGGCTTCTCCACTTGTGCTTATTAACTTATGTTGGAGTGATCCAATGTGTAAAGTTCAAGTGTAAAATTAAACCATTGGGATAGTGATTCAACCTACAAAGTAAATGTGTATATAGTATATATCATGAAATGGTAAGGAACTGAAATCTTTCACTCCTTTAATTTGTTTGTAGATTTGGTGGACAGAAGTTTAATTTTGATTCAGTGTGATATTGAAATGTAGCAACACTTTTGCACGATCGGTTAAAATGCCCGTCGAGAAAATTGTTCTGCTTCCCTAAATAATTTAATGGAAACAATCCTAATGTTTTGCCCCTAACTGATTTTGATTGATTGCTGTTCCTGCCTGTTCATTATCTCCTGTTGTTTGTATATGACTTTGGTTACTCCTTTGAATAGCAAAAAGTTTTATATTACATATTCCTCTCTATGTTACTTTTTCTCTGCCAACAGCGAGACCGTCTATCTCCTCCAGTGGACACACACCAGATAGAGGAGGAAGAAGGAGAGAAAAGCTGTGGACCCACGAGACTATGGGAAGCATTCAGTCCCTGCAATGGCTGCCGACCTCTTGGCTTCCCAATTTTGACACAGGTTGATATTTTTACTTTCTGTATAATACTTGCCTGCAGGAAAACACATCCATCAAGTATATTCTCATCGAAGAACCTTCTTTTTGTTCGAAAGTAACAGACCAAATTAGGATATTCTGAGTTCAAAACAGCATGCTGTAAAATTCATTCTGGTGTGGCACTGGACTTGAAAGCATCAGGCAGCCTCAGAGTGGGTCGATGTAAATTATGGAATTTTTTTTATTCCCCCATTTTAAAGTGTCTAAAAGCAGTCTGAAATGTTGCCTCATCCTCATGGGGATGAGGGGGGAAGTTGGATGATCTGCGTCCATGGGGGTTCGGGAGCAGTGCTGGCAATGCCCTGCAGCTTGGCAGAGCAATGGAGCAGAGGCCACAGTGATGACAAGTTCCATGCCATGTCTTCTGCAAAGCGGGAGCCCGATTCCTCCCTGCCCCTTAGTAGTGGTGAGAGGTTGTCTACCCGGCTGAACTGTGTATCTGCATCTCTGTTTCCATGCCTACTGGGCACTCGCCTGTATCCCCGCCCCCCACCCAACCCCCATCGATCTTCACCTGAGTCCTCTGTAGCAGTATCTGCCTGCCACCTTGTCTTCTGGTGAACTGGCAGAAGAGCCATGGCTTGCTTACAGCCCATTCATATCCAGCGACTCATCATGTGCTGATGCCAACTCCAAACCAGCCTCCAGAGTATGTGCAGTGCCAGTGTCTGACCTGGCAGCTGAGTGTCAAATCGAGTCTTCATCATTGCTCGGCCTCCCTCAGTTGTGCAGGCCACAATACCCAGGACTCATAAAGTAGGAACGCAGAAACACGTGTTATTCTGAGGGTATGAGTAAGGGGTGGGAAGCAAGAGACATCACCTGCAGCTTCCTCATCCTGCCAGTTAGCAGGGTGTGGGTGAACTGGAAGTCAAGAAGTGGTAAAAGATTGGAAAATGCCATTATTTCCTTAGTGTTCTCCAGTACCAGATGCTGTGGGGACCTGTTGCATTGAGCTGCCTGCTGCTGGGAGTCTCAGGAGATGCAGGCTTCCTTGTCTCTCCTGCATTAGCTGTGCTCTACTCCTTTCCAGTGTGTTCCCCCTTGTCTTTCAATAGTGAAGGCAGAATATTAATGGTAATGTGTTTGGATGATGCTCCTGGCGTAGTCTCCTGTACAGAGGTATGTGAAAGCTAGAGACTAGTTGCACTAGTAGATGGCAAAGGGTGAGCTCTGAAAGTCAGGAGTAGCTGCTGGGTGAGTGATGGGAGTATGGAACATTGATTTTGTAGAGGGTAGGAGAAATCAAGTTAATTTGCATTCACTGATCTTTATCAGCCATGTAAGGAGATTAGAATTCAGTGACATTGCTTTCAAGTGTTTGGGTCCAGGAATTGTCTATGTTGCTCCCTTCTGAGGTGGTCCTTGTCGTCTCCTGCCAGCTTCCCATCTCTCCTCCTGCTAACCTACATTACTCATGCCTCGAACACCATATTCTCTGTGTGGATCACTCTCTGTGCCCAGGCGTTCACTTTGCAAGAGCTTCATTTGCAGCAATCTTTTTGTGTCTCTAAAAGAGAGCCCGCCTTTAAGAACGAGAAAACTGCCTGCAATGCATGAATGGCAAACAAACGTGCAGGCTCATTTTGGTATGTGTAGCACTTTCCAGAAACTTTGAGAAGAAAGACTAGTGCTGGAGATGCAGGTAATGGCACTGAAATCATACCAGTGAGGTAGGCAGACCAGGCTGGAGGAATGGTCACACATCATGCCCCCTTGCAGCCAGATATTGAACAGGTTAATTTCTAGCTGGAGGTATTTAACTTTGAATGAATTTTCAACCTGCTGCTGTGAAGTTTCAAAAAGATTATTCTCATTCATTTGTGAATCATCAGTGTTCATGAGTTCTCCTGTTCCATCTGGGAATAGTTTTGCAGCTACAATTTCATTCTGTTTAAATGTTGCTGAACCTGACAGCGTGCGATCTGAGTGTCCCATTGGACTTGGCTGCTACTTAACGCAAGTCTTAATGGCGTATCTACACTTCCATCATAGTACCAGCCTCCAGCCTATACTGCCACTGCAACTCAAAGTCCTTGTTCTACCTCCTCACCTCTTATGCCCCCACTTCACAACTTGTATCCTAGTCGCTAAATAGTTCTCTATATCCTTCTCCCTCTCCTCAGCCACCTCCTCCATGTGGTCATCCTGCCTATTGATCTGTTCTTCTGCTGATATGCTTTAACAACGTTTTACACCACTCTTAACAAGCCTGAGGTACATTGCTCCACCACTCTCCTGGTCTGCTCTGAGTTTTCTCTAGCCCACTTTCTCTACCATCAGTTATGGGAACTTGCAGCTATCACTCCCTTAAGCTCTATTTTCTTCCCAATCTTTACCATCCCCAATTCTCATGACATCTCATTATCCTTTCCCCAAAAATGTATCTGTTTACCCACCCATTTGTTACCTGTCCTACCTCTGTCCATTCCACTCCTCCTCCTGTTCTTCTGAGGTGCTTGGAACGTGTTACCCTTTGAAGTACAAGATATTGTCTTATTATTTCTAACCTGATGTGACACCTTTTAAAATCATCGAAGCTCATAAAGTCAAACGTATTTACAAAAGAACCTTGTCCTTGTGTAGAAAAAAAAATTAAAAAGGCAAAGAATGTTGTTCCCTATTCTGTTTCTCCAAATTAATTATTTTTTTAAAGCATCATTGCTATGAATATAATTTTTACAAATGTTTCCATTAATCATGATTTGTTTTATAACAAGATAATTGACAGTATTTTGTTGGACAGTAAAAATATTTCAACCAGCATTACTGCTGAGCTATAGACGTCATGATAATCCTTTTGTATTCTCATTTCTGGTGTTCGAAGTTAGAAACAGACGAGCAAGCCAAGTGCAGTGAGGAAGGAAGCACCATATATGGTTATGGAAGGATACTGATTTGTAGTGATGGAGTATTATGGTAATGAATGCAAACTGTGAAGCTGAACTACCTTCAGTACTGACGTAGGAATATTGTGTCTATAAAATCAAAAAGACTCAGGACAATTTTATTTTTAACTCTGAATACAACAGTACAATTTATACACTAAAATGCAAGAAATAATCTGCTCAAACAATTTAACATTTTTTTAAAAATGGTGAGCACAGCTTCTGTGTCTCTGCATTTCTCCAAATTTACTTCATAATGAGCACTGCAGATTATCTAGCAACTACAAGACAACAGAGGTACACATTTTGACACAGGCAAAGGACTGTTAATTGAATGCATACGATGCACAGAATTTGAGGTGAATTAATTGGCCACCCAATACCTATTCCTTTACTCATGATGCAGAATAACAGTTAGGGTGTTAAAGTACGTTTAGCCTTCTCATCAAGTACTTGCCAAGCGATAGATTCATTAGTAATGTCAAGAACATCACTCCCACACAGTCACACTGCAGTGAATACATAAGAGACTCTAATACGTATTCAGGAGACGAGTAATCAGCAGGACCTAATGATATCCTGCTGTACATTGATGTATAATGCACATATTAAAAAGAAACACAAAGTAAGTGTACATCAACAACTGTATTTTTAAAGCCATTGTCAGAGTTCTGTCTATCTGGAGGATGAAAGAAGAGGTTATTGACATTTTTAATGTCTGAGTTTCCTTCAGTTACAAACGATTTGGGGAAGACATACCCATCCTATTTCCTCTCAGCATTTTCTTCCCCAGCTTGTGTCATCATATCTATTTGTTTAGGAGGAGTTACTATTAGCAACAGAAACCTTTAGTTACATCTTTTTATTTTACTTCCATGAGGACATTGCAGTGATGAAAATGAAGTCAGAATGTTTTATGTGCAGTTTTGAAATACTTGCTGAAGCCAATCAACATTATCTTTGTATTACCCTTTCAGCCTCAACACTGACATTTTATTTAACATCTTTGGGTATTTTTAGATAAGGAAAAGATAGCTGTCAGAATAATTTGTATTTCAATTCTTCATTAGTTCATAAATAAAATATTTCAACTCAATATATTTATCGTAAATATTCATGACACAATAGTTCAAATCAAATTTTTCCAGATTCTCATCAGGAAAAATATTATTTTAGTTTTGTGGAAAATACTTGTATTTCATGAATCAATTACCCCCACTGCCTTTTTAGTTTATTTTGTTAGCAAACGTTATACTGCAGCTCTGGTATAAAGAAAAACTGGTTTACTAGTATTACTTGTCATTCTGTTCACATTGTAAAATCAGAGTAGCTTTTCATAACTTTAGTGCTTCAGTGGTTGTGTGGGATGCCCATTGTAAGAGCAGGAGTTTGAACCGTTGCTTGCTATCATTACTTTTTGCCTGCTCTTGGCCATGCTATTACTTACCAACAGCAATAAAATAAAGAGTGAGGAAAGTAAAGTGCCTCCTGATTTATTTACCTGGTACCATGCATTATAGAAGTTAAGCACAGCTTTTCTGATGAAAACTGTTTTAATTTAACTTTCAGTCAGAAAATGAGAGGGCCATATGCGCTGTCTTATATCAGTGCTAGAAATGCAGTGGCAGTGATAAACCAGAATATCTTTTAATCAACATGTTTGGTGATGTTATGTCAACCTCTTAGAACAAGTGGAACCTGAACTCACGCCTCGTGGTTCAGAAGTAGAGATACTACTACTGAGCCACAAGAACCAGAAGATATTTTCTATCCAACCTGTTCTGATATGCTGTTACACACCTCTGGAACAGGTGAGGCTTAAAACCAAGACTCCTAACCCAGAGGTAGGGACACCACCATTGTGCCACAAAACTCTTGAGAGCCCAGCTCTTTTAATGAATAAACCACCAGCAATTTAACCACTCAACTAATTAAACAAATAACGATAAGCAAGGATTGCCAACCAAGGGCAGTGCAACTCTGTGGGAGCCTCCTCCCACACTATTTCATCTTGTCCTATCAGCATAACCTTTGACTCTTTTAAGTCTTGTCTCCATAGCCAGTCTCACTTTAAA